GGGGAGGGGAGGCCGGTGCCAGGTGGAAGGCGTGTCTCAACCCTGCAATGGTGGAAAAAGGGAGAATCCTCCTTCCTCGTCCGTGAGATTTACCTCTGGGCGGATGCTTTCTCACGCGCGGCTGCATCTGAGCCCAACGCCGCTTGCGAGAGGCGATTTGCACGCTTAAATCGTTGGCGCTAATCTCCTAACAGCACATTAAGTCAACAAGATCCTGTTATTCTTATAGCCAAGTATATTCCTTTGCATTTCACACGTACACTTTTCCAGGTTTTACTTTTAAAAAAAAAGCAAACCCCAAACAGCATGATGAAGTTGCAGCTCACCATGGTAAGCATCAGCAAGACCTGTTAATTTTGTATTTCATTTGTAGTCCTGGGCGGTTGTCGCTGATTTCACACATCATGCCCACTCTGCCTCATTGTCGGCGGTAGCAGTGAATAACAGATACGTGGTCACTGGGAGCAGAGATGAGACAATCCAGATCTATGACATGAAAAAGAAGATAGAACACGGGGCGCTGCTACAGCACAATGGTAAGGGAGCTTTTCATCGTAGCCAGCCTTAGTGATAGGAACTTACAACTGAAAAACTGGCCCTTACCAGAAGAAGAAAATTGAATTTTTTTTGTTAATAAGTCTTTAATAGTGATGGTGTTGCAGCCATGGTGTTCTGACAAAACAAGCAAGATAAGCTTTTGAGCATAAATATCCAAAAATCATTTTGGGTATTAGCCCACAAATACAGCTGCTGCTTCCAATTATGTTTAGTTTTAACTGTTTAAGAAGTTAGGGCCCTCAGATGGCTCATGAGCCATTTTTGTTCTACCAGGGCAGTTTATCTAGACCATGCCTGCTCCTGACAACCATCTTTCCCAGTGTCCTTGTTCTGTCACAGAGGTACATGAGCCACACAAAAGAGTTTGTGTCCGAGAGCAAGCTGCTGCTGCCAGAAGAATTAACGTGGTACATTTCCCACTTTATGTACCTCCTGAGTTACAGCCATGAAATACATGAGTTAATGGCTGTCCAAATCAACGTGTTTGGGTCATTTGTAGCTCGGTCCTGATTGTGCTTTTTCTGTTGATAACCAAGAAGTGTGTGGAGCTAGACTGAACTGGGTACCTGTGTTCAGCTCATGTATGATGGATTTGGTGCTTCTAGGAAGCAGCATGTGCAATAAATTCAGCTGTGGGTCAATAGCGGGGCTTTGACATAGGAGCATTTCTTGTCACTGATAGAGGCTCTGTGTCACCTGAGCTGCCGTGGTTGAGTACTGCTGTTTCAGGGAATGAACCAGATGGAGTTCAGATGTGTATGGCTGTAGGGGGGCTGATAGAGCACATCAGTGATTGAACCAAACGAGAAAGGTTAGGAGTTTTGTGAAGAAATACTTAGGAAATAATTCAGATTTTCCCAAGGGTAGAGTAGTACCTGGCGTATTTTGATACTAGAAGTTTCTCTATTAATTCGTATGTTCTCTGTGTGATAACTGTTCAGTATGTACAACGTTGTTAATAGCTCTGGTTTGCATCTCTAGGCACAATAACTTGTTTGGAGTTCTATGGTACTGCACATCTACTGAGTGGGGCTGAAGATGGACTAATTTGTATCTGGAACACAAAGAGATGGGAATGCCTGAAATCCATTAAGGCACATAAGTGAGTTTCTTAAATCTGTATATTAACATACTTTTTCATGTTTATTTTCATTGTAAATAATACATGTGGCTAATATGTTGTTTTGTTTTTATCAGGGGGCACGTGACATCTCTTTCTATTCATCCTTCTGGGAAATTGGCTTTGTCAGTAGGAACAGATAAAACATTAAGGTGAGTCGAAACCGATGAAGGAACACTGAGAGTCGTAATTCAGTCACTCTTAGTAAATTGTTATAAGCCATAATTCAGTGTTGGGACTAGACCGTGCAACACTGATAAAACATATTTGGACATCAAATGGTTCGAAGATCCTTTGGTTTGTCTTTTTAAGTTCTAAGTACCAGCAATATTTGAAAGTCTTTTAAAAATAGTCCTTTCTGTTCCTAGCTTCTTGTTGTGCTCTGACTCTTTATAGTTACTTGTAGATGTATAAATACATTTGCATTTTGGAACACAATTTGTTTAAACTTCTGAAAGCTGTCAGGTTTTCTTTAGTGTGAGAAAAGTAATCTTTCACTCGGAGTGCATACGTGTTGCTGTATAGATGTGTTTTAAATATATAAAATGCTATTTTTACAGCACAAATTGATATTGTGCTCCTTTTGGGCTGTGCATTGCAGACGGTGGTTTATAAAATAAATGTAACTAATTCAATCTTGCAGTGTGCAAGCAATATAAGAAGACATCACTTTCTTTTCCATTAAGAAGGCAGCAAAATGCACAGAGATGCTTAAAAGCTTCCTTTGGATGCCTCATGTCAGCAGATAAGGGTTCGGTTTCACTATGCTGTTCTTAACCAGAATGCACATTATCCGTTGTTGTCTTTCAGAACTTGGAATCTTGTAGAAGGACGATCAGCCTTTATCAAAAACCTGAAGCAGAGTGAGTATCAGTCTAGATCCCCTACAGAGTGAAATTAAATAGGTTTATTTTTTGTATGAAGAAAAGTAGACTGAATTAATCAACAAGTCAGTTAATTGCAAGCAACTTTCACAATGTCTTTTTTACACATGCAGGCAAGCATATATAGGCATATGTCCTTGATAATAATGATTTGCCAGAAGGAAAACATAGCAACACTAAAGTAGTATTTTTTCCTTGAAATTTGGTGCCAGGACATTTAAATAAATATGTTTTGGTTTTGCTTTGTTACTTTATATACTTCTGATAATCAGAAATAAACATTTAAGAGCATAGTTTTACATGTTTATTCTAGGTTACTTGATTTTTTTTCCTGAATTTTTCTCAGGTTTAGGTAGAAAACAGTGTCTAGCAGCTTCTAAAGAGTCTTACTTTTAGATTCTTATGCAATATAGAATGCAAAAAACTGTGTACATGTGTATACGAATGTATCAATATGTACAGATGCCCACATAATCAAATGGTCCCCTGATGGAGAGAGGTATGTGACCGTGATAACAAATAAAGTGGACATCTACAGACTTGACACAGCTTCCATCACTGGCACTATCACAGCAGAGAAGAGAATTTCTTCACTTATATTTATCACAGTAAGTACAAAAAAGAAAGGTGCTGGGAAATTCAGTAGTCTGAAACACAGGTAATTAATAACACTTGCATTTCTGTTTTCCCATTCCAAGGATTATATCCTTGCCATAGCTGGAGATGATGAAATGATAAGGTTGTACAGCTGTGACTCTCAAAAATGCGTGTGTGAATTTAAAGCTCATGAAAACAGGTATTCTATATTTATTTGTTTACTATTTAAATATTTATGGCAATGCTGACTACTCAGTAAAGTTCAGTGACTTGTAATGTTCAGCATATTTTACGGCTGTTTTTGTTTCAGTGCAGAAAGTAAATTTACTTCTGTGCAAAATTCCAAATTTGGGACAAACTTGTTTGCTTTAAGTATGAGCACAAGTACTGTGCTGTCCATGCACGTTACAAAAACAACAAGGTATAGAACTAGAAATAGCACCGTTCTAAATTTATAATCTAAGTACAGTATAAAATATTTAGGTCTAAATAGAACATCAATATAAATCACATCTAAATATATGTCTTATAGCTTGCCCTCCCCAAAGCTTTGTTGTATCAGAACTGTAACAGGGTCTGGAGTGCTTCTTGGGAGATCAAAGTGGCTATGCAGGGTTCCCAGTGTTCCACTACAAAACTGGACTGTACCGGACAGGCAAATTTAGTAGTAAGACATCTGGGGATGTTCTCCTGTGTTGTCTTACCTTGGTCAGTCCTTGCGATAGTTGCCCTCTTGGCAGCTCTGAGTCTGAATTACCCAGCAGGCACATCCCTGTTGCAAGGCCTGAAATAGAGCCTCCATCCCTGGCTGATGTGGAATCCGGCTCAGAGGCCGGTGGCGTCTCTAGAACCATAGGTTGGTCACCCTGGTGTATCAAAGCTTTGAAGTGGAGAGGTGGTAGGTAAGGAGACCAAAACAGAAAAGGTTGTGCTAAATTACTTGGTTTTATATGGAATGCATATATACGGTTTTATTTGTTTGTGTATGTGCGTGTATATAAAAATGCATGCACACACACAGGTGCACACTTCTCTGTGTGTGGTCTATGTATTTCTGAAGTTGGGTACCAGTATTTTCCTGCAAGACCATCAAAAGAATGGTCTTGAACCAGTCTTCGCAGATTCTGACTCTTTAGAATGCTTCAATGAAACAAACCCGTTGTACTCAGTCCAGACAATAGCAGGGTGATCACATGTTCTCGGTTTTTGTCGAATACCAAGTATTTGTCCAAATGCTGATTTTATATCATCAAAACACAAAAGCATTAGCTAAAATGTCATTGATGTGGTTAACAGTGCATGCTTAAAAGTGTTCTGAACTGAATCCTAGCAGGCCTAGCAAAAGCCAGTGTTCCTACTGTGAATGACAGCACTCAAAACAGATTACCATTCCAAGTTCCTGTCTGTCACTTGTGGATTTTCTGTTCAAAATGATTTTTAGACTGTTGCCTATTCATCTTTAATTAGTGTCAGCTTACTCTTCTGAAGTGAACTGCCATGCTAAAAAGTGACAAAGTACTACATTTTCTTCACAGAATAAAAGATATCTATAGTTTTGAAAGAGAAGAGCAACATGTCATTGTTACTGCATCCAGTGATGGTTACATTAAAATGTGGAGTCTGGATCTTAATAAGGTTGGTCTATTAAACTGCTTGTTACATTTATGTAAAAATATCAGACAACCAAAATTGCAGACGCTTCTGTTATAAAGATTAATTTTGAATCACCGAGGAAATTTTACTTGAAATTTGGATGTCTTGATCTTCTTCCGTGTTATGTTCAGTAGAGATGTGTATGTCTATGCACATATTTTTATGCACTTGTATATTTTTGAATCTTTGTAATTTTTTTTTGACTATAAAATCTGATGATACTATGGAGAGCTCATCTCCTCTTTATGTAAAGTCACGCTTCCCTTCAGACCTACCTGCCCAGAGTTATGACTATCTAATCAGCTATATATGTTCTAAGGACTGCTGTGAATTTTTGTAATGTTGATGGCTGTCACTACTCTTTTAAAAACACAGACTCTGTGGTTTGGGGGTGATGGCTGTTGTTCATGTAGGGGGAAAAAGTGCTTTTGAAAAGTTTAAACACATTAATGTGCTGGGTACTTTTATTTCCTGTATTCTCAAACAGTTCCGAGTAGCACAGTTCAACAAGGAATCATGTCTCACCTTTGAAGTTTTCCCATGTTTATTGTGTGCTCTGGGGTTTGTCTTTCGAAATGTTAATCAGATTTTTTTTAATTTAATGCCTAGTAATAAAGGATCTACTATATTCCACTATAAGCATCTTCAATAGTTCAAATAAATATCTCTCAACATTTATATACTTTATACATCTCATCTGAATTTGTCTGGTTTTAATTTCACCCCCTCTGATTATTTTTTTACTTGTAAGTGCAGTAGTGAAAATCCCTGTTTTCACTTCACCTCAAATTTCTGTTCCCCTTGTACATAATTGACATAGTGATCAGGGAACCTTCTACCTTTCTCTGTAAGATTGTCTTTATTTTGACCAAATCTGTGATTTTCTTCCTGTGCAGGCACAATTTTGTAAAACTTTTTCGATAACTGTGTGGGCTGCTCTGTCCAGCTCTGTGAGGCAGAATACCCTAATACAAGTAGTTTCTGATGGGTTGATGATGTCATGCTGCACATGTGTTTGTGACACTTTATCCCCTGATATATGTAATAGGATATTTGCTCAAGTATTCCCAGAGCTGACTGATACAATTGCAGTTAAGCAATTCAAAACACACTCTGAAGAAATTACTTTTAGTCAGCTGCCTTGTCCTTGTGAGGGAGAAAAGGAGTCTGATGCAATAACTTAATCCAAATTATTTTATCTATACAAAAAAAAAAAAATTACTCTGGAGAAATTTTTGAAACCATTAACATTTTTTTTTTTTTTTGCTGGGTCTCTGACTCATGGAGTTAAACTCTCCCCGATGTCCCTGAAACTCACTGATCTTGCTTATCAAGATACGTTCTTAAAAACATTGAGAAATTTTTGTAAAATCATCACCAAGGAATGTTATAAGGAGCAGGACTGTGTGTGACCATTGTTCTAAACATTGTTAGGCACCAGCAATGAAGTGGAAGGCGGACAGTAGGATACTTTTGCACTTTAAATGCTTCAGTAAATTTAAACAGAAATAAAATAATGTTTAATTAATCTTTTTCTATATTCTCTTCAGACTAAAGATGTGCCATCTTTACTGTGTGAAGTCAATACCAAAGCTAGGCTGACATGTCTTGCTGTATGGCTTGACCAAGCTTCAGAAATGAATGAAAATTCTGATAAAGCTGCAACATCATCTCAAGGTAACAGGACTGTTGTGAGTTTTCGATTGATAATGTGACTGTGAAATGGAATATACTAAGTGGGAGGTTTTTACTGTCTGCACTGGAAAAAGTTTTGGTATCTTGAAGAACTGGGGTATGACACTGGCAAGTGATACAGATATCCTTACCAATCTGATAGTGTCTCAAGCCTGCATGTATGTTGGAGGACATAAGCCTCTCTTCACTTATATGAAAGTTTTGTTTCTCTTTACTGCAATAACATAGTGAGGAAGCCACAGTGAAGCTTTTGAGACAGATTAAGAAAAGAATAAACAGTTTGGTAGAACTGCGTATCTTGTTTTGTTATAAACAAAACTAGGTCTGAGGCCAGTGTAGTTGGGCAAACTCAGGAAGTCTGGCTGAGGTTTGTTGTGGGTTTTTTGCTGTTGTTTTCCTGTATCATCATTTATTTACATACTTGATCTTAAGATATTTTTGTATCACAGGCAAAACTAGCATAAATGGCACATTCCACTGTAAATAAAAAACCATTTGTATCTCATTTTTAAAAAGGGGTTATAAATAAGTCTCTGTGCCATTTTAGACTACAAAGACTGGACATAAATATCAGTGTAATTTCTTGCTTTTTTCAGCAAATGAAGATGAAAAACCATCAATAGTCAGGAAAAAGAAAGTTTGTTGGACTGATAAAAGTGATAAAACAGCAAAAAGAAAGAGAAAAATTACCCCAGAGAAGCAAAGATTGGAAGCTCCACTGCAAAAGAAGAAAAAGAAACGGAATAGCTCAACATGAAGGCAGCTACTTTCTCTCCTGAATAGAAAGTAAATACTGGTCTTGCTGTATTTGTTATAAGGATGTAAACCTCCAACAGGACATACGCCTCCAAACTGATCTGTTGTTTAAAAGTTACGAATGTTTTTACTCTAATAAATTGACTGATCATTCTGGGAAGAGGCAAAAGAGATGGCAACTTTTCCTTTGTCAATGAGGTAAAAATAAACTGATAATACATAATGTTTATATTTTTCTTTTAACAATAGCATACACTTTTTAACCAGCTCTGAAAAAGCCAGCTAAAATTATAAAAATGCCTTAATCTGTCTGTTACATTTTTGTCTCACTTAAACGCATATTAAAAATGCGTACGTTAGTGTTGGAAAAGTCACTGTTCATTGGACTCAAAATATGACCTGCCTTTGTCATGCAAGATATGATGATCACATTCCATTCATACATTCACAGGAAATCATACTTTCTAGTTCTTGATAGGGAGTTATACATAGAGTTTATAAGCAAAATGTGTGGGGTTTTTTGCTTCATGTATTTATTTTTTTTAAAGTCTTTGCATCCATGGTGCACATGATTGAAACCTTTTGTTCAGAATGATACACATTTTTAGGTGGAAGAGTTTATATCAAGGTTTTACCTTTTCTTCCCACTTCCCATAGTATTTTTTCAAGTCCTTGATCTGAGCTGTATTGTTAAAAAAAAAATTATCTAATATTTGAAACGTCATGCTGATAAAATGTCACCCATCTGTTTTGCACTTAAACAAAAAGTGAATTCCTGACCTCAGTCAGTGGGAACGGGATTTTATCCTGTTATTACAGATACACAGTGGGAAAAACAAGGTTGAGCTGGAGAGAACAAGGTCAAATAGCTGTACTAAATGTTCTCTTTATTTATTTTAAAGTAAGGCATTATAGTGTTGTCTTCTGCACTGCCAGAGTAGTCATCATTTCTTCTGTTTTCAGAGAGTAATTGGAATTACAGTTTATTCTGATTCACTTTCGTAATAATGTGTTCCTCCTTATTTGTGTAGCAAGAGAAAAGGGAGAGAAAATCAGAAAAAAGACTGAGCCAAATCTGCAGACAGGAATGCAGTCTGTCTTAGGGATGTAACATAGGATGTAACTCCAGCTCATCTCTGTGTATGCTCTGACACTGAAACAAAGTGAGCATCATGGGCGCTGTTACAAGATTGTTCATGTGGCAGTGGCAGTATTCTCTTGGAGGTGGGTGTTGGTATTTGTCTTCTGTAGCTGTTACCCTTACCTAGATAAATGATCACAAACCTTTGTCTGAATGCTCAGTATAGTGGATTTATATGAGCTCAGTTTAATTCAACATTAAAGGGATTTCAGTTGTACTTTAGTTTGAACTTACACAGCTTTTAACTATAATAATACCCTGAATGTGTGTGTATACAAACACAGGCAAATAATACAGGACTTAAAACGATTTGTAGGCTTGGCAGAAAAGGTAGCAAATCAGATTTTTAATTGGTAACAAGGCTCCTGTAGTGAGTGTAGGGCTTACAAAGCGTAAACTTAAATAATTGAGAATTGTGGAAAGTGTTTTTGTCAGGTGTTAGGTCTATCTTGTAGTGCTTATCTTATGTCTGTTCCTGACAAAATGGCTGCCACTACTGAAAAAGTTTTTATTGTTTGAATTTTTAAATACATGAGCTAATGGACATGGACATCACAATTACAGAAGCCAGCTGTCATGAGCGCCAGTCTGCACATGATTTGAAGAATTACAAAGCAAAAATTCCACAGAATTTTGGTTCTAAGGTTTAGACTTAAAGTCAGTAATAGACATTTGTAAAAATCCAAACTCCCTGTGTAGTAACAAAGAATTATGCATCTCATGAGACTTGGAATGATTTCTGAACTGGAGATAGAAGACAAGTCCTAGCAGCTTTTAAGCTGAAATACAGAAACAATCCTGAGAACTCGTGTTTTCTGTACCTTGAGTGAATGCTCAGCTACTGACCAGTGGTACTTGGCAAATTTTTTTGTTGTTGTTTTCTTGTGCACATCTTCCTTTTCAGAGCATTTTCCATTCTAGTTTTCATGGACCTGCTTAGAATGATGAGGGGAGGCAGCAGTGCAGAGAGAGGAGATGTCAGTGGTGAGACAGCCCTTCCTCTGTCAGGCCAAGGTGAGCGCGCGTGGCACTGGTAGGGCAGATGGAGCCATCCACGGCTGCCAGGAACGACGGCGACAGCCCAGCGAGCAGCATCTCGCCTGAGCCCTGGGTGAGCTCAGCAGCTCCGGCAGCTGTGGACTTCGGCCAGTTTTCCTGCTTCCCTCTCCAGGAACCCCAGTGCCGGATTACAAAGCCCAGCCCAGTGAAACTTCAACCTGGTAGCCCTTACACAGCTTGAACAGGAAAGGGAACCCCGTCCAGGATGGCTTAGATCTGTGTTGGTTGTGGCACTTTGCAGGGAGGTGGGAGATCGGTATTTAAACCACTTAGGCCAACAGGGGAATTAAACTGCTCTCTACTTTCTGACCATCAGGCTAATTCATAAAGATGGAAGAATCTGCAATGCAGCTGGAGAAAACGGCACTTTGCGGAAAGCACAGCCCTCTGATGGCTTTGCCTTCTGGTACAAAGGGCAACTGAAGCCCCTCAGCTTGGGGACCTGGCTGGAGGAGTGCTCGCTCTTTCTTTCTGTATGGGTAAATGTCCGTGAGAGGCAAGTGCATAGCCAACTGGAATAAATCACACAGCACTATTTACGTGAAGCAAGCCAGTTTGGTGCTTGAAAAAAAAAAAGTTTATCTTTGCAGACAGTTATAAACATCTCTCTACATGTTTTCTGGATTAAAAAAATGCAAAACACTTTCTTTACAAGATGTTTTCCATCTCCCAGTGTGGCATAATTTCTATAGCAGAAGGCTCCTGTTGCCCTAGCTGTGCTTCTAACTGGAAGATCACAGAAGTCCTCTGCATCTTCCACAACAAGCAACACGCTGAAATTACCGATCAAGCTAGCAGCGGCCTGCTGACTGCCCAGAGCTGTAGCTCGCACCGCACCAAAAACCACCCGCAAGCTCTAAGCTGCCCTACACACCCCTCCTCTGGTGCAGGACCAGGGAGGATGGGGCGCGCAGGAAGGCAGCCAGGAGGGAGCTTCGCCCCTCACTCAACAAAGCACACGCAAAACCTGGCCTGCGCCGAAGGCTC